ATGGCCTCCATACAGACGCCAAAGCGGAGGCCCTACTGACCGGCGAGGCCAATTGGTTCACGCACACCATTCCGCTGAGACGGGCAGTGCCACGCAGTGCAGCACATCAAAACCATCTGCAGGTCCCCTCTTCCCCCTCAATGTCACAGGGTCTCTCGAAGCAGCAGCAGCAGCAGCCCGAACAGCAGGAGGAGATCCTTCTGGCACCGCGCAGGACCCACCAGTCCTATCAACCCGTCTTCCTTTCAGCTGAGGCCATGGACCAGTACATTTCACCGGAGACGGTCAACCTGAAGATGCGACTGTTTGCGGGCAGACGATCTGGCCGAAAGGAAAACCTGGAGGACAGTCGCGACAAGGAGGAGGAGGAGTCCACTCTTAACAGGGTAAGTATCTCCTTTCCGTCTTACTCTGTCTCCCTGCTTATCTCCTGTCCTTTCCACGAAGTCTTGTTATACGCTGATAGGTAGGCGGAAAAAGACAGGAAGAGCCTACATTCTGGTGCCGATACGTGGACGACACTTTCGTTATAATCGAATGGAGCAGGCTAACAGACTTTCAAACTTGCTTAGTAGCATCTTCCCCGACATCCGATTCAAAAAGGAGCAAGAGAGTACCGGACAACTACCGTTCCTGGATGTCCTCGTCGCGCGCAGACCCAACGGGGAACTCAGCACCACGGTTTATAGAAAGGCGGCTAGCACAACCCAGGTGCTCAGCTCCCACAGCAACCACCCAATAGCGCATAAACGTGGCTGTATTAGAGCACTCTTTCTGTTGGTGAAGACACACTGCAGTGAACCGGAGGGACGAGTGCAAGAACTACGACATCTTCGGGACCAACTGGCCAGAAATGGATACCCGAACAACTTCATCAACCGCTGTCTCCGAACACGCCAACGGAGACCAAACGAAAAGGAATCATCAACGCTCTGGCACCCTCTACCGTACGTTAAAAACATATCAAAAGCAACCGGGCGTATCGCTGCAGAGCTCGGCGTGAGTATTGCTCATCGCCCGACAGCTGCCATGCGTGCACGAGTTATGCAAATCAAAGACCCACTGGATGTAGGTGAGCAGTCTGGCGTCATTTATC